TAGGGTTTATCAATTATGTTGTGTAGAAAGCTAGATAATTCATACCTATCCATGTGGACTTGAACAATTTGTCCACAGGGAAAATGTGGCGAGAAAAATATGAAAATGGAAAAGAAGGATACAGGACCGTACACGAAAGTGAAGCATGTTCATAGTATGAACTTACAACCATGGCGAGATATGCAATATTTCCATTCACAAATATTTCGATCGACAAGCTTTCAATGGGAAAAAGATTAAACTTATGCAAAACTTTCACACACTCAATTCTAAATATTAACATGAGACCTCCAAATAATTGGAAGGCAACAAAACTCCAGGGTTTGTAATCTTATTATTATTATTATTATTATTATTATTATTTAAAAAATTACGTAGGTGGGTCATGTGACCCACCAGGAACCCCCGGGTCCGCCGATGATCACTAGTTATTTTCGATCAATAGCACTTGTTATTATCATATTGAAAAAAAAAAAAGTAATTTTTGTATATCTTCTAAGAACCAAAAAAAAAATCACAAAGAATTATTATTATTATTATTATTATTATTTATTTATTTATTTATTTATTACTATCATTTTTTTTGTTGGCTAGAACTATTATCCTTTATGGTGTCGAATTTGAATTGTAATTGCTTGCATTTTTTTTTTTTTTTCCGCTTCTCATCAATCATTTTCTTTAGAAGAAAATGAAAAAGGAAATGATGAATTTTCAGAGAATGAATATGGGTGAAGAATAGAACATATGATCCAACAAATCTATTGGCTTCTGTAAATGAAAATTCCAACTGATATACCAACCATACAAAAATATTGCTAAAGATGGATAGCGGTTAATAACGATGGCGTGATGGGGAATGACAGATGGTGGTGATGGATGGTAGAAATGACCAACTGGGTAAATATAAATACCTGTGGTAGTGGAGTCAGCAACGAAGGGATGGTAGTGAGAGAAAAAGGTGGAATTCAGGGGTGGACCCAGCACTCGGCTAGCACTCGCGGCTGCCCTTGCTGGGTCCGTCGAAACCTTCGACCGTCTCGCCGTCCTCTGGGAGAAGAAAGATGAAGAAGAGTAGAAGATGTTGTAAATTTTTTCCCAATTTCTTAATGTTTCATTTGTTTAATTGTTTGGGCCTTATTTAAAAAAATAAGGCCTAATTAATGAGCCCAATCCTGCAATCCATGGTTGAAATATGAAAGTCCATTACCATTAGGTCCATTAGCCACAACAATTACAAAACCAAATCAAATACATTTTGGTCCGACAAGGGAAACGGACAATTGTGAGTCTGTGATGAGGGCGAAACCACGGTGTGAGGGGGCCCCTGCCTGGCTATGAGTCTTTGACACCACAGAGACAAGTGGACCGAGTTAGAGTCACAGAGGACGGTGGTCAGTGGACGATGGTGCAATAACCAATAGCTGGAGGCTGGTTTGTTGGACTTTAGTCTTGTATGCGGTCTCAGCCTCTCAAGTCTGCCGGTATGCGTTCTAACTTCTGCCTGCCTGTAGGCTGTAGGTATTACTTATTAGCTCTTGTTATTTGCCTATTTCTTACTTGCTACTTGCTAGTGGCTAGCGCTTGTGCTGTTGTGAGTCTATGACTTATGCATTCTGTATTTCCTATTTGGGTGCATTGACTGCATTCTGTATTTTTGTTTTTGAATTGTGTATTGTGATTTGGGAATTTAGGATCTTAGAATGGTGAAGATGTTTATAATTTTGAATTGTGAATTATGATTTGAGAATTTAAGGTTTTAGGAAATTATAGATAAGTGAAATTAGGGTATTGTGCATTATATCTTCGACTATTACAATTGTTGATTGTCATCGGTCATCGGTCAACAGTCTCCACACTAGCTGAACCAAAATGCTGGATTCGCCCCTAGCGGCATTTAAGGTATGTGTCAACATTAGACCAATTTATTCGTAAATCTCATAAAAGCCAAACATTCCAAAACTCCAAATTGTGCAAAACCTCATTGGATCCCGAAACAATATCTCGAGTAAATTTTGCTTCATCTTCTATAATCTAACATATATCGTAGTTAAAACATATTTTTCTAAATTAGATCCCACAATATCATGATTGAAATTTGAATTTCCACTTTCTTTTATCAATTTTGAATTTTCACTCAATGTTTAGGCAAAAAATTTGATTTTATGGTATGAACTCTGAAGCTTAGTTTGTGGCCATGGATATGCGATAACTGAAGTAACAACTACTCAACCTTTAGACTTCCTTGACTGACAAGGTGGCTTCTGCTGCACTGATAACCAACGAAATACCTACAAAAAGACTCTGGGACTATCCCCCTATTGTACCTCAGATGTGACAATAGTGATCGGATTTATGTAGATAATTATAACTTTTAGATGAAAAAAGGAAGAGAACTCAAAGATATGGTCCAAAATATTGTCCTTGATACCTAGTGTGTGTTTGGTAGGGATTTTTTGGAGGAAGAATTGATTTTGAATAGTGATATGATGATAAATGTGTGGTTGAAAAAGAAGATAAGATTATTGATGTGATAGAAAATATTATTTTATTGAAGAATGTAGAATTGATTTTGAATAGTGATATGATGGGAAATGTGTGGTTGAAAAAGAAGATAAGATTATTGATATGATAGAAAATATTATTTTATTGAAGAATGTGTGGTTGAAAATGAAAATTGATTTGCTCCTAGTATACTTTTGGGGGTGTTTATATATGTTTACTACCATGTAACCATCATCGATTTTTATCCACGTTTCTAGTGATTAATTCTCACTTACCAGGTAGTTAAGAGGACCAAATGTAACCATCAACGGTTACCAATCAATGAAAAGAATATCGAGACAATTGAGAGACAGTAGTAGTCGATAAATTGTCTTCAATTGGTTGGCAATCGTTTCCACCTTGGTCGATCAACCACCGTAGTTGGTCGACCACTTTGATAGTCAGTCGACCATCCTCGTCCGGTCGTAGTTGGTCGAACATCCTCGTCTGGTTGGTTATCACATTAATTACTTATAGTACTCGATTACTTGCTCTTGTGTGAATTTTCACTCTTTTTTTTTTACCCAAAATTCTTTTATTTCTTTGAAAACTTGGCTACGGGTAACGAAGGTGGTTATAGTAGCTTTGCAAGTTTGATTGTGGTTTTGAGAACTTCCAGGTGCTTAAGCGCATGAGATTTAGTTATTGTTTGAGCCTCATTATCTAAAACATTATTTCCAACCACATATTCTTTCAATAAAATAATTTTGTACGTAAACTCAATTTTTTTCTACTTTTAATTACATATTCTCTAAAATATCACTATTATATAACTCTTTTTTTTCACAAAAAATTGAAGCTCAAACAATATTGAGTTAAAATTAGAATCAGTTATAGCAGTGATGAGATATCGTTTCATGGTATGATATAACAAAATATAACACAATTTATTACATATAACTAATGGATAAGGATATATGTACCCTGTACGTCAAGCATGATTCATAACTAATTGAATAATAAATTGTAATTTAACACCCCCCACAAAATGTAACATGTAATATAAAATAGGACACTAAAATGTAACACAATAAGTTGTATTATTTTCAATATTGTTTTGACATATTTCAATTTAAAAGTAAGGTATTTCTGAAAGGATCCCATTCGTTAAGGGAAATTATAAAAAATCAGATGTTTAAAGTTTATTTTTTAAAAATCAGGTCACCAATTTATTTATTCAAAAATCAGGTATTATATTAAAACCTAATTGATAACACTAATTATCTCTCTCTCTCTAAGCAAACCCTACACCACCCCGTCGTTGGTGACACAGCTCCTGCAGTGAGGCATTAGAGTTGGCGTCGCTCGATGCTGCAATTGCGACCTCGTTGAGGCGCCGCAGTCGACGTCGCTTGATGCCGGTGGTGCGATTGCGTTGAGGTACTGCAGTGAGCGTCGCTGTTGCGCTGTCGCCAATCAAACGGGTACAATATCGTCGTTGCGACCCCGTCCCTCTCTAATCCAACGACATCGTTCTCCTTCCTCTACTCTCCTCTGCTGTATCTGTTTTTTGGGGCGTTTGTGGTAGCTGGAGGTGGTGTTACAGGAGTTTGCTAGCAGTTTTGTGAACTGCACTGGGGGTTGTAGTTTTGTGAACTGATGCTGAAATTGATGAAGCAGTACATTTAGCAAAAGAGGCAGATTATGTTGTGCCGTGGGTGGTACTGTGGTGGTGTTGCACGGAGTTAAAGATGGCAACTTTGATTAGCAGCGCCGATTAATGTTGGGTCTGGGTTTTAGGAGACTACGGTCGATTGTTGGTGTGATATTTTGCCATTTGAAGCTAATGGTGGGTGGTTGTTGAGATGGAGGTGGCCCATGACTTGACTTGTGACTTGTGACCTAAGCTGCGACTTGTGATATGGGGAGTGACTCCTGACTTGTGACTTATAACCTGAGCTGTGACTTCTGACTTGTAATTTGTGACTTGTGACTTGGGATGTGACCGTAAAAAAAACATATCAACCGTACAAAAAAACATAGCGGAGCAGTCGTCGGAACGGTCGTCGGAATCGGAGTAGTAGCCGGAACGATCGCTGAAAAGTTCGTCGGAGTAGGGTGGTGATCGAAACGATCGCCGGAGCGGTAGGGGGGTGAAGGTGGGATGGGTTAAATATATTATATTAGAATTAAATATTTAATAATAAATTGATTTAATAACTTATTATTTCATAAATAAAAAAAAAACTTGATTTTTGAATTGGTGTAAAGTATACACCTTATTTATGAATTTTTCCCATTCGTTAATGTCCAGTTCGGCCCAAATTAAGTCCAGGCTCAATGGGCCTCTTCACTAACCGCCTTGAATCCGAATCTTTATTTTCCAACTCAAAAGCGTACAATTGAAAAGTTCTCGGCTCCATTTGTCCACCTTTAACAATCATCGCCCTGTACCCCCCTCTGCTGCCAAAACCCTAATTATCCGCCGATTTCCTCTCAAGTTTTTGTCCATTACAGTCATGGCGAGCTCTACAGAACCTACGAAGCTGAAAAGAGAAGAAGAAGAAGAGGATGATTCAAAACCAGTGGCAGAAGATGAAGACACTGGGGCACAGGTCGCTCCTATAGTCAAACTGCAGGAGGTCGCTGTTACTACTGGCGAAGAAAATGAAGACGTCCTTCTCGATCTGTGAGTATTTAATCTTTCTGCACTAAAGCACATAGATCTGTATTTGCGCACTATTCGAATGTGGTGGGAACTTATATATTTTTTGGAAGCAGTTTTGATTGCAAATCTTCATAAATCTGTACTTGCGAACTTATTCGAGATGCACGCGCTAGAAAATGAAAATCAATTGTTATTCAAATGTATTTGGCACTTTTATATTTGAGGAAGCGATTTTGATTGTAGCTTTTTTTAATTTGTTCTGTTCTGTTCTGATCGTAATATTTTATTTTATATTATTTTCTTGTAGTGAAATATCTTTTTGTATCTTATTTGTATTCGTATGTTCTAAATGTTTTACTGATGCTAGGGTTTTGGTGGGTTCGTATTTATTATTTTTAAATGTGGATGATAGGAAGGCGAAACTGTATAGATTTGATAAGGAAGGCAGCCAGTGGAAAGAGAGGGGTGTTGGGACATTGAAGCTACTCAAGCACAAGGAGAGTGGCAAAATTAGGCTTGTCATGAGGCAGAACAAGACCCTTAAGATATGTGCTAATCATCTGGGTAAGTTCACACTTATAATATGGGTATTGTATGTTTATTTTATGTGTATTTGATGTTGTGCATATATCTTGGTTTGAACCCATATGAAGGTATAGATTTGTAATATGAAATGATGGATTTGAATTATTTGATTAAGAAATTGTTTTGTTTTGTTTTGTAATAACAGTGTTACCCACAATGACTGTGCAAGAGCATCATGGGAATGATAAATCGTGCGTGTGGCATGCAGCAGATTTTGCAGATGGAGAGTTGAAGGAGGAGACTTTTGCTATTCGGTTTGCCTCCGTGGAAAGTGAGTTACTATGTTTCATATATAGTGTGCTATATCTTTGAAACTGTGCTATTAAATTTAGTCCATGATTGGTGTGTTTTGATGCTAAGAAAAAAAAAGAGGCAAACAGATATAAATCTTTGGTGTTTACATCTATATGTTTTTAGTCGAGAGGCCACCTCACAGGTAAGTACAGTGTCTGTTGTAATTTAAATTGTATTGATGGATAGCTGGACGGTTTGTCGAATAGTTGAAGTTTCATGAAAGAGATAGGAGTTGGTATTATGTTGTGTCGAATTTTATTACAAGCAGGTTCAAGTATTCATTTTAGTTGGTTTTCAGACTTGTTCTTTATGAGGAATTTTAGCTTTTCCTGAGAATATTTTACCATTTGAGTGCTATGGGGTTTGTGCCTGAGGAGTGATCAGTGCTGGGGTGGAGTGCATAATCTAGATGCCTTGACGCTTTGCCTATTTTTTCTATCGATATAGGGCTAAAGTCTAATTAGTTTCAGCTTCTTGTTTTGCACAATCAAATAGATTTTTTTTATTATTATTAATTTTCTTGTTCTTGTTCTGCTATTCTTTCCATAAAGCGGTGTTTCCTTTGCAGTTTTACATTTGCCCAGATACATTGAGCCCGTGGGAAATTCATTTTTTTTCCCGAACTCATTTTAAACCACATTCTCCCAATAAAATATTTTGCACGTTGATCCAAAATCTTTTCTTACTTTTTAACCATACATTCTCTGAAATTACAAAACTCACTTTTGATGAAAATGTGGCTCAAACATAGGTTGAATTAAGTTACGATTTTGGCTTTCTTGCAACGATAGCAAATTTTTCTCAGCGGTTATGATATATTAAGAAAAGGATAAGAAAAGAAAGCTGCCCTTAATAAGATATTGCGATTGTTGAAGGCAAGGTTTAAAAAGACGAAACTAAGTGTTGATGCAGTTTTTCTTTATGAGGCGAGGCGTAAGCCTCACAAAAAACAAAAAATTTAAGTAAAATAATTATAAAATAATACAAAAAAAAAAAGTTGGA